AATTACCCTCTGATCAGGTATCACCCTTTTTTTATTGAGATTTATCAAAAACTTAAGCCTCAGCTGCTTTTATATAGATAATTGGACACTGTGTCTTTATGAAAGGTGCATGCAAAAACCTGAAAACCAATACTAACTAAGCATGTGTGTGTTTTTCCTATTCTCTTGGAACCTTTTGATCTTAAAATATATTTTTGGAATATTCACAGGGGATACGGGAGACAGTAAAATATGGACAATGATATAGTGACAATTGAAAGTTAACCCAAATTAAAAGCAATATTAAAAACATAGGTTTTTAATTTGCTTTTAAACATTTCAAGGGAGTTTGCTGTTCTAAGATTCACTGGGGGGAACACGCACTCAAGTTTCTGCCATTCTGATTTTGGACCAACAATTAACATTTCTGTTTTCTGCTCATTCTGTTTTAAAAAGTTAATTCTCATCCACATGGTAACATAATTGAGACAGGTTAAAAGTGCATTAAAAGAACTTGGGTTTTCTGGCGAAATGGAGACATACAGTTGCGTATCATCAGCATAACAGTGATATTTGACATCATTCTGATTAATAATGTTGCCTATAGGGAGCATGTACAGAGAGAACAGGATAGGTCCAGGATGCTTCCTTGAGGAACACCATACTGAATGTGGACTGTATCTGACACACAGTCTCCCAAGTTTATAAAAAAAAATGCTGTCGTTTTTAGACAATCGAAGAGAGACCCACCCACTTCTCCAGACGACTTATTAAAATGTTGTGATCAATAGTATCAAAAAACTGCACTCAGGTCTAACAAAAAGAGAACAGCTATCGTTGGAGTCAGTGATGATTCTTAGGTCGTTAACTACTTTCATTAGAGCTGTTTCAGTGCTGTGGTTAGTTCTAAAGACGGACAGAAATGTATCCAATATATTATGGTTATAGATGAGTGGCAATGGTCGGATCAGAGTAAAAGTCCCTTCAGACACTGGGAGCCAGGTCAGCCAAATACTGATGGAACCTGACATTGTTAAGGTCCTCTTCCAAGAATTGGTGGGACAGACGCTGTACTGGCAAATGTCCTTACTGCTATAAGGGTGAGCATTACTTCTATCTATCTATCTATCTATCTATTCTCTCAAGTACATTGTCTATATCTAAACGCCAAAGTGATTGAAAGCAAACTTAAAGTCAAGTGGTGGAATGTGATGAAGTACATTTACCGATGTATTTTTTCTGTTCGTTTAGACCTAAAAAAAACATGTAAAGATTGTGAGGGTGGAAATAAAGTCAGATCCATCCAGACGACAAAGCGGTGTCCGATGCAATTTTGCAGGAAGTACATTTTTATCTTTAAAATGTCATAACAACATTATGACAAGCTTATTTTTTCTAAAGGCGTGTTTTTATTATCTCTTGCTTAAATAGCTCAAACAAAAGTACCAGGGGCTCGACCTTCGGTGGAGACTCCTGCCAGATGGTATGTTTTTCCAGAAAAAAGAGAAGAAGAAAACTAATGAAGAAGAGAAGTGGCTATTGTGAAATGATCTGCAGGTCCGAACAGGAAATTACATTTACTCCTGAGCTTCTGTATGGGCACCTTAGCTTTGAACTTTAAAAAATACTCTGGCTAGAGTGATTAACAAAGCCTAACCCTAACAAGTCAACTTGGCAATCTGTTCTCCTTTTAGAAAAAATACAAAGCCTGATGTATTTTTTTAAATGTCACACATTACTGTTTGAAATGCTTATTTTTGAAAAGTGCTTTCTGATGCATTTGGCAAATAAGAGTTATTTTAAAGGTCCCCTAATATACTATTTTTCAACATCCTATTACAAGTCTCAGACATATACAAAACATGTCTCTGAAGTGTTTTGCTGAAAATACTACACAGATCATTGTATCATGCCGTAAACCCCTCTGTTTCAGCCCTGTTTCAAAAGTGCTGATTCTGTGTATGTAGCTTTAAATGCAAACGAGCTGCTGCTGGCCCACCTTTTATAAAATTTAACTTTTTTGATAAGGGTCCACCCTTATATAAAAACATACACACACACACACACCAATTTGTTGCATTTCCCGCTCTTATGTGCCCATCCCCCCACGTGAACCACACGAGGCTGACTAAACAATGTGCAATGTATAATTTTATTTTTGCCTTGCTCTCATTTGACTCCATGAGCACCATGAGTAGGCAACTGATTACGCTGCTATCTGTCAGAGAGGTTCTTGACCACAATTTTGAGCCAGATGAAGAGGGAACGCGAAATAGAAGAATATGTCTCAGAAATGGAAGACAATATCGATCCAGATTTTGATCCAGACTCTTTTGAGATGGCGAGGAAGAGGCCACTGAGGAAGACCACTGAGGAAGAAGCAACTGAAGAACACCCTTCCCCCAACGTGAACCACACCTGCCACACACACACACACACACACACACACACACACACACACACAGACGACTATTCTTGTTGATGTTCTGATGGTCTTTGAATTTGCTCTCTGTTTTGAATGCTTTTTTTCTTTTTACAATAAATGTTAATTATATCACAAAAATACAAAACAATACATGATCAGTGTGTATTCTTTGTTTACTGCAGTTTGTCATGTATAGCAGTAGTCTGATACATTATTTACAATTTGAAAGGGTGTTAGATAAAATTTGGTGATGATTCATGTTTTTTTTGTTAATGTGAGAGCATTTAGAACAGGACCGGTCAAATTTGACCGAGAACACCAAAGTATGGGGGGGCAAACGAACACAACAGGAGGGTTAAAGGGCAGATTATGAATTTACATTGGGTTCGGTATAGTTGACTGGATAGTATGGCTTTTTTCAATGTGTAAATAAAACACTTCTCATTTAGTAGTCACTGTTGCTGGAAAACTGCGAACAGTATGTCACAGATCAAAATAGCTTCATGCAAGCAGAGATTTTTGAATGGGTTCACTCAACTGTGAGTTTCAGTGACTATTATGACACTGGTTTGCGTTTTTATATTTATAGTTTATTGTGCTTGAAGAAAAGACTTCAGTGGATGAAGCATTTAAACTAAAGTATTTCTACATAATTGTCTAAACTGTGAGGGCCTATTTTTGAGGACGAGGATGTACTGCCAAGAGCAGAGAAAAGTCTTTTAGAATCATAGTGGAGACATGGTGCATTGCTCTCTCTAGTGGCTGAAATATGAAATGATTTAGTCGAATATGGTAGGGTGAAAGCTCTCATAGTTCATACTGTATGATTCAATGACTAAAAAGTGGACAAACTTTAATGTAACCCAGCAATAGGAGATGAAATTATTATACAATTGAATGGTCATCACAGAATATGTTTGATCAATACTTTATGAGAACATTTTTGCTAAACTTTTTGCAATGTGAACCTGGGCTAAAATAGTGTTTGTAATAGTTTGTGTTGTTGTAATGTTATGTTTGTTGGTTATGTTTTTATGATTTAAAACTTCATGTCCATGCAGACTCATCTGGAGGAAGGCCCTGCCATGGTCCTTTGTCAATAACTGGAAATAGGGTTGCAGATGGTAAATCAGGCATTTGTGAGAGCAGAATGATTTTGAATTGCAACTGTGTCATAAAAATGAGGCCTAAAAGGATTTAGACCATCTTGTCTTATTTCCAGCCCCAGTCCCCGCATAAAAGTTATGAACGATACAAGAGACACAAAAGGTATGAGAACAATACAATACAATAAACTTACATAGCATACTTTCCATGACCCTGAGGACAACATAATTTGACCTTTGACCTATAATGCTGCAATAAGAAACATTTGGAATACATCGGAAGATGCCCTTGTATCTGATGTGATAAATTCCATCAGCTTTACAACTATATACGGTGTTGTGGACTGTTACATTTGGGAGCTGCTCACGCGTCTGGTATGGCTGGTTTAAGTGCCTACAGCAAGTTTTGGTTATTGTTGAAGACCAATCTTAATTTAGTAGCCATCTGAAGATATACTCTGAAGAGGTAGTATTTGGGGAAAAAGTTATTAAGGTATGACATAAATCAAATATCTATGTGCAACTTGAATTCAGTGAACACATATGACCGATCACAGTTATTTCACCTTGTGCTACCTTTTAATGACAAACAATTAACATTCACTGCAGCAACAAATTGTGTATTAATTCAAGGTTACAGGACCAACAGCAACATAAAGACCGTGAAAGCTTATCAGTACAAGTATTTATAAAGGCATAGACACACTTTATTTGCATTTTTCAGATTGTATTGTTTCAAAGAAGGAAATTAATTAGTTTATATCGAAAAATGAAGATGTCACGACACAACAGGGAAGCCATAAAGCCTAAACCTTTAATTATTGATAACTTTTACTTTTTTAATATCGTAATTTATACTATAACATTCAAACAGGCAATAGATAATCTGTTTATTTGCAACTGAGTTTATGTGTAGAACACGTACTAGGACGTTCAGACTATAACTTTAACAACAATATCAAAATACGTTTAATGCGATTTGAGGACAACAAAGGAAATTATATAGCTTTACAAAATCTGACTTCATGAAGAAACATTTTCAACATCTTCCAAGAAACACAAAGCCTGAAAATGTCCTTAAACTAGGTTTGACAGCTTGCGTTCATAATAAAAACCCATGAGTAGTCTTAAATACGTAGGGTTGGCATGGATTTAAAACCAAGTTAAGTTTGACATCAATCATATTTCTGAAACAAACCTCAGGGACTGCTTGTGTCATAAAGCCAAGTGAGGACAACAAGACAAATACATTCAAGCAAGATTCAACAAAAATGAACATGGGGAAACATACAAAAGAAAAAAAGATTCTGTAGTTTGAGTTTAGGTCCTAAAGTGGCAATCCATAGCGAGCTAGAATATATGCGTGTCAACAACAAGGCGCAACAAGCATGATAAATATTGACTTAAGTAATATAAATCCGTTTTTCTGCAGCAGATTTAATTCCTTCTGGGCTCAAGTGTGTCCAAATAATTTTTTACGGATTTAACTATCATGTACTGCAACTTTTGCGTGCACATTCAGACTCGTCCAACATCACCCTCTTCTTCTTCCTGCAGCAGTGTCTCCACACTCTGGTGAGAAGCGTGGCTCTGATCGCAGAGCAGCCTCTGATGTACAGGATGGGGGTCAGAACAGCGTTAACTCGGGGCAAAATGCGCAGAGGGTCAGTGCCTTCATTTCTGAAGCTATAACAGGTGGAACCAAAGAAATTGCAGACAATAATATGACTGAATATAGGAAGCCACGTCCCTAAGAAAAACACTGCCACCACCAGTATGAGATAAACGGAGGAGCGCTTGCTGTCCCTCTCCTCAGAGGGCGGCTCCCTCCCTAGCTGGAACCTAGCTATAATGAACAGCCTAACATTCAGCCCTATCATTATAATCACCGTGAATATGTTTCCTACAAACGTACCCATGCTCGTGACCCTCTTGGCCATCCCGACTGTGACCAAGTTGTACACAGCCACGATGAGGAAAGCGTAGACCCAGTAGACGAAGATGACCAGCAGGGTCCGGTTTCGGGTCATGAGCTGGGAGTATTTAAAAGGTGATACAACCGCGTGGTACCTGTCGGCCTGTGCGGCCAGGATTGCCATGTAAGACAGCCCAAGGAATGTGGGTACAATGTAAAAAGTTCTTGTAGGTGAGTCGAAGCTATCTCTCACGTCAAGAACACCGGCATAATAATAGGACACACCGGAGCAGATGTCACTGAGGCAGGTGCTCAGCATATACATGAAGCGGTTCTCGCTGCGCAGAGCCTTGTTCAGCAGGATGGAGAGGGACACAGACACGTTGAGGACAATGATAGATGTAGCCAGAGAAATGCTGAAAATAAACATCAACACATTGCCAAAGCTTGTGAGGGGCAGTACAGGAGACAACCAATGGCTGCTGTTAGTCATCGGAGCAGAGAGAACATATGCATGGGTTCTTAGTACAGCAGAGACACATGTGTGTCTGCATCTGAGGGGCTTCTCATTTTCTCTTATTTATATAGGAAGGAGGCCATGGGTGACCTTAATTTGAACTTTAATTTCCATGGACAAGTTAACAAGCCCTATTTGTAAAACCCCAGTGGTTAAGAACTTATAACTTTCTTGTGCATAGTTTTCAAGTTCCATGAACCGTTTACAGTCCGGACTTCAGTGATTGTAAAACATCCCTTTGCTCTGAGTCTGAGGTCAGGAGCATCAATATAATCCTTTAAGCATGTGCAATAAACAAAACAATTTAAGTTTATTTTGATTCCAAGGTTGTCTAACAGTTGCCTAAACCCTCTCTAACAGGGCAGATTATGAATTCACATTGGGTTTGGTAGTTGATAGTTTAGCTTTTTTAAATGTGTAAATAAAACATGCACTTTCTCATTTAGTAGGCCTATCAAAGTTACACATATATTCATGCAAACAGACCTACTTTTGTATGGTAAACTTAACTGTGCGTTTCAGTGACTTTTATTACACTGGTTTTCTTATATGCTTTGGTTATAATTGATTGTAGCTTAAAGAGAAAACGTCAGTAAGCAGTGAACCTAAAGTATTTCTACATCATGTGGTAAACGGTGATGGCCAATTTAAGTAAACAAGGACAGTAATTTACACTGCATATATTGAGTCTGAGCTTAGTTGGAATCAAAACGTTAAGAGAAGCCTATACAGAATGAGATAGCAAAATATGAGTGAATCAATGTTGAAATATGGTTGGGCAGAAATATTGAATCCATGTTGAAACCCGGACATTGAAATTAAACAGAAAGCGCAAATTGTTTTAATG